GGGAGTCGGGTTTTTTGAGGATATAAATACAAGGCTTAAGGGTTTGTAATTATTCATTCACACAATTAATAATAAAACCCTAAACGGGTGTTTGCCTCAGTTTGCGATTTCTTTCTAAGTTTTATTGCTTTCTTCGTGCTTGATTCACAACAAGATCTGAGGAGGAAAGTGCTACTTGGTGAGATCAATGGAGAGAGATTGGTGACGATGGGCAAAGAAGAGATGGGGAGCGACGAGATTCAGATGGAAGTTCAACAAATCAAAGAAAAAGCAAGATTTAGGGAAGAGAATCGTCTGAAGATGATGATGCTTCAATCAGATCACATGATTACGACCTAACAGAGATTCTCGATTTTGTTTTAGTGTATGATTAATCTCTTGGAGGTTTGAATGTAAAAACAATAAGATTTTGTTTGCAAATTAAGGTTTGTAACTCACTGTTTCATTGTTAAAACCAACTAGGTGGAGACCCGTGCATTGCGCGGGTTTGCGAGAGACATGAAGCTGAGTACTTGTTTTTTTTATAATGTTAAAATTCTTATATATTATAGAAACTTTTAATGATAGAAACTTTTTTATAATGTTAAAGTTTTTCAAAAAGTTAGCAGAAAGCCATTTTGTCTCCATGTACTGCTTCCTCAGAGCTATTATTTAAGGTTTTCGGGAGTTTGCATTTGTGTGAAAATATGTTTTCTGCACATCATAAAATTCACAAGCGCGAGGTAGTGGAACTTTGTGAATTGGATTTGCAATTGGCTGAGTCTCTCTTTGTTTGAAGAAGTTCAGCGGAAAGGATGTCATCCTCATTGCTATATTGAACCGGGAAATATATGTTCATCATCTTTTTAATTTTACTTATGACTCAAGTAATTGAATTATTTTATGTTTCGATTGATTTATAGCAAAATAGTACAATCTATGGTCCATATTAAATGCTTAATTTCTTAATTTATAAATGTATTTTGCAGGATGATACCTAGGTTTAAGAAAAAATAAAGAAGGTGAGGTTAATTTATCAAGGTCGACAAAAATAAAGAAGCTATCTTTACAAAACTCAAACACAAGAAAATAATGGTAATGTTAAAATTAAAATGCAGAGATGAACATCTTGTTATGAAAAAAAGCTATGAATAGAGAGATAAAAATCTTTTAGCTAAAAAGAAAATAAAAAAGACGCTGAACAAATTTAAGAAGAGGAATTAGACCTAAGAGAAAGGTGAGTTAGTTGTGGTAAGTGAAAAACATATGTAGGTTAACGATATATATAGTGTAGGATAGATGTTTTAGAGTTTTTTTAAATTTTTTTTGGTGGTCCATTTAACAGATTCGGTGAATTAAACAAAACCGCTGACCCATTAACTAATTTGATGGCCCGTAACTGATGTAAAATCACATTAACTATATTGACATGTAGGATTAATGATAATCCAATTAAAATTAAGAAAAATGACACATATATAGTTTTTAATATGATACATAAACAAATCGCTCTGGAGATGACACATAGGATTTTTGACTTCGTAAATAATAGTATAGATAATATATTACTTACCACTAATTTTCTTGTTAATTCCGACATAAATTATCATAAAACTCGAAAACATAAATTATATAGTCTGATTCGATTGCCTGATGATGGATAGTTCAGGTGGCTTCAAGTTAATGAATGCATCTGTCTATATCTGGTGGGGATAAAGTTTTGTAAAAATCTCTTGGCAAGCAAAAAAAAGGATTCCACAAAAGTTAATACTTTTTTAATTTATTTTTTAATTGCTTACTTCATTCTATGAAACTCTCATACATCTTTTTGTTTTCTTGTGCAAAGTCTTTTACACTCCCATGCAGATTTAGAAGCAGCCATATATAGAAGCATCAAAGATCAAATAGCTTCTTTTTTTTTTTTGGTCATACAAAGATTAAACAGTTTTGTCATACATTCAAAAAATGAAAAAAAAAAATGTAATGGATCTCTCCTACTGAATCTCTGCTAAATCAAAGATCATTACTGTTTTGATCATTAAACGATTAACTAGATCGATTAAAATGGTTTATTATTATAGCAGTATTGCTTAAATCATTTTTAAAGAAATCCAAAGCAAATAAAATAAAAGGAAGGGAAAATTGTAAAATAAAGAGTAAAGATAAAAAATATAATGAGAAAGAAAACGTGTAACTGTGCTTTTTTAAAAGAAAATTAGAGTAACTAGCTAACAGATCTGCACCGTGTACGAGCTACAAATATTTAATAAATAGAATATTAAAATTTTAAAAACAAACTTTTCTATAATATGTTATTTTTATTTTTTTTAGTTTTTTATTAATTTATACTAAATTAAAATTTTGATTAGATCTATCGTAAAAAAAAATAAAAAATCGATATTCATGCATAGATAATATGTGTGATTCATTTATCAATACAATCTTCCACCATAATCAAATTTGAGTTGAAGTCGATTATTGTTGTTTAAAACATCTATCAATACTTTTCAATTTCTAAATTTTGGTTTGAAATTTTTTATAAAAACCCATACCATAGTTCCATCCTAAGTACTCCTTATACAATTGCAAAAAGAATGCATCTGCTCCCTATGACTAGTGTATCATGTATATCAAGCAATGAATAAATATTTTTACAACTAAAATTTGTATAGTTAAGCAAACATGAATTTAATATGAAACAAAAATTATATTTGCACTAAGAAACAGAAAAAAATAGTTAAATTTTTCGTATGTATGTTTAAACATGTTCATTTCAAGAATTAAGACAGGATATCACAGAAAAGAGATTAATAAATATAATTCGGGTACTAAAAAATATTACCCAGTTTTAAGGTAATTTCAAAAAAGATAACATGATTTTACTCGGATAGCTTGGAACAGATATCAGTGATAGAAGAAAAAGATAAAGTAAAACAAAAGCAACATTAAAAGCAAGGAAGAATCATAGAAAAAGAAGATCATTGGCTCAATCAAGCAAAAACAGACTAATTAGTAAGAATTGTTAGGGATTAGTAACTCATGTTTGGTATTAGGTTTTGCAGGGATTGTGTTTTTTTTTCTTCTTTTTCTAAGCATCTTTTTTATTGTCATTGTTATTCAAAGGGATCGGCAAAGGTAGAAAATTAAATCGGGATCCACAAATTAAAGGTATAAAATTAATAGTTTTGTCAAGAAGTTCCTTCCAACTTTGTAGTTATGAATTGTTTTGAAATAGAAACTAGAATTAGGTTTATTAAAAAAAATTTTGGTCGTTAGGTTTATTAAAGTAAACGGGAAGGCAGTGAAAGTACTCTTTAACGCCACTGAGATCTCTAATCTCTTTCTCTCCTTTCTTAATCTTCTATAGCTCTTTTTAGAACTGATAGTAATGAAAGTAGAAGTTCCACTTTCAATCTAATATATTTCCGAAATCTACAGCTTGATGTTGATGCAGATTTCTTATACTTCACCGCAGATGCAGCGATATTCGTGGTAAGGATTATTTATCTTCAAATCGATAAGGATTATCTATCTATCTCGGGTTGGTATATACATCACATATTATCTTAGATTCCTCCCAACTTCCAATGTAGGATAGTGTCTACATAAAATTTATTTTGGATTTGGTTTTTAAATTTAAACTAGATTTTAACCCCGTGCGTCCGCACGGGAATGTTTTATTTTTTATTTTTTCTTATATAAGTTGCATTTATCTTTTTTGTTTAGATATTATTTATTTTTGTTATTTATTTTTTTAATCAAAAAATTGTTATCATATTTTAATTTTAAACAGTAAAATTTGTATATTAGTAGAATAAGAGTATACGTTAATTAAGTATACATTGATCTAATGTTAATTATAAACTTTGTTATTATGTGAATTTAGATTTACACATAAACAATTTATATATCTATGAATTTGCTAATCCATCCGTTTAGTTGTCTTAAATTATTTTTAATATCTTACATGTTTTGACAAACTAACCCGTATCAGACTATAATTATAATTGTATAACCCTATAAATATTTACTAATATGGAATATTTGGACCAATTGATTATGAAAAAATATAAGAAGATATTTATTTACTATTTGTGCTATTAAAAAATATGTATATATATATATATATATAAACGGACTAACCTGTTAGTTTAATTGTCTCAAATCATCTTAATATCTTACATGTTTTAATAAATTAACTCATGGACCTTAAATATATATATATATATGTAACTCTAATCAGCTCGATCATATTATTGTATAATATAAATATTTATTAATCTCAAATATTTGATATTTTAGACCGATTGTTTATGATAAAATACGATAAAATATTTATTTACTATGTATTTTATAAAAATGTTATTTAAATTTAAAATTTAAAATTAAATCTTTCCTGTATTTAAGAAATTCTAAAGTATTAAAATTATTATCTAAATTTTTGTAATAAAATTTAATTATATTTTTTTTTTGAATTTTTTGAATTTAAATTAAAGTGAATGCAAATTTTTGTAACTAAATTTAATTAAATTTCTAATAATTTGAAATTTAAATTAAAGATGACCTAGATTTTAGAAAATCTAAAAATATCTAAATTAATAACTAATTTTTAGAAATTAAATATAAAAATAAAATAAAATATTATAAAACAACTTTGGGAATGTTTGGATGCAAGCACTAAATGTGCTTCTGTTTTAATAGAATAGATTGGTGATTAGATTGTGTAAATTTCTTATACTATGTTCAATTCTAAATTTTTAAATTGGTTAATTTTAAGTAGAATTACGACACAATATATTTGCTGCGTTCTTTTAAACAATGACACGTCAACAGAACACTGTAAAACTCTCTGAGAAACCGACACATCAACAAATCACTACATAAGTATATAGATAGAATTATACAGTATATTCTAGCATTCTCTATAAATAGCTTACCTGAATAATTATATAATTATATTTTTTGCTACAATTACGAAGTTCTCAATAATAAACAAGGGAAATTAATAATCAAATCCAATCTCAATATCCTGAAGGGAAGCCTCCTTTTCTTGGATCACTTACGGCCACAAGCTTACTCCTTCCACCGGATTCTTCAACTATGAACTGAGAAATCGTCCCTCCCGGTAACGGCGTTAGGACATGACCTTTCTTCTCCAACACATGTCTTGTCTCTTTAGGTATCTCAAAATGATCATTGTAAGCCGTCGTCCAGTTCTCATACGAAACTCTGTTTGGTATCAACTGGAAATGACATTACATAAAGCAAATGTTAGTGATGGACCAACGAACAAGAAAGTTTCTATTTTGGGTAAGGAAACCAAAAACAAAAACCTGATGGTAGATTCTTGGAGCCACGACGGAAGAGAGAGGATCCATCTCGAGGAAAAAATGATTCAAGAAAACCTCCGTTGTTCCAGCGATGATATACATTCCTCCGCTTGCACCCACCGCAGCTTTCACTTTACCGTCCTGAGCAAACCAAAGCATAAAAATCTGTCGTTTAGAATCCTAATTCAAAGTTTCGTGTTGCACAAGTAACATGATTTTCTCCCACTTACTTTAAGTACAATGGTAGGTGTCATTGAGGACAATGGTCGTTTTCCGGGACGGATGAAGTTAGCCAGTGCCGGTGGCGGCACATCTAGGTCACCGACGGATGTCATCGGCATTGAGAAATCGTCCATTTCGTTGTTCAAAACGATTCCCGTACTCGGAGATAGCATCCATGCCCCAAAATAACCGTTTATTGTACTAGTCATCGACACACAATTCCTCTGGCGATCTATGATCGATAAATGGCTTGTCCCATGATCTTCGATCTGATTCCACCTACCAATAATTGGAAAACGGAAAGATTGATAAATCAAGAATCCAAGATGAAATATCGGGGTTTTAACAGATCTTTAAACTTACATGCCGCCATAATGTTTTGGATCAAAGGTTTTCTCATCATTTATCTTTCTCTTCAAGTCTTGTGCAAACTTTGGAGACAACATATCCGCAACAACCGTACTAACATCGACGAAATCCGGATCACCAAGGTTCATTCTAATCGCAAAAGCGTGTTTTAGAGCCTCGACTAGTCGATGGACACCAAGAGAGCCCGAAACACCCGATGGAATCCCATATTGAGAAAGAATGTTCAAAATCTGCAACACAAGAAACTCTCGTAAACTTAGGTTTGATAAAATGACAAATTTTTGCAAAAAAAAAAAGAAAAAAGAAAAAATAGAAACTTACAAGCGTCATTGCAGCACCACCAGATGAAGGAGGAGGCATCCCGAGGAGTCGATATCCAAGAATGTTTGCTGACAACGGTTCTTTAACCTTAACTCTATAACTTTGAAGATCTTTCAAAGTTATTATACCTCCTGATTTACGTATATCTCTAACTAGGTTAACCGCAACTGTGCCATTGTAAAATGCTTTTGGACCATACTTTGCAATTTGTCTCAAGGTTAAAGCCAATTTAGGGTTTCGACAAACCATCCCTGGTTTCTTCAGCTCTCCATTTGAAACAAATAGTTTCGAGAGACCTTTGTCTGCTAAGATACCATCTTTAGTCGCATTCATCTGCATATGAAGATACTTTGAAATCCTGAATCCTTTTGCAAGTTTTGCTGCAGGCCTCACTAACCGCTTCCACGGCAGCTTTCCATGCTCTTTCCAAGCCGCGAATAAACCCGCGACTTCCCCGGGAACAGCTACTGATAAGGCTCCTTTCTTTTTTAGATCCACATTGCCTCCATACATATTCTACATCAAGAAAAGACAACCAAGAAAGATCAATGATTCAAAAACGTAAGGAAAAAGCTATATCACCTAAGTTTTAGGTTCAAAACGCATATTTTGTTTAGAGGAAAAAGAAATGCATTATTACTAAAAACACCATTATATACCTCACTAGCGAGGAGAGGAGCGGTTTCTCTAGAATCATAAGCTATTTCCTTCCCACCAGCTATCTTAACAACTGTAAACGCTCCACCGCCAATACCGCTAGACGCTGGACTCACAACGCCCAAACAGAGAGCAGCAGCCACAGACGCATCAATCGCGTTTCCTCCTTGTCGAAGAATTTTCATTCCGATTTTAGAACACCGTCCATCGTCCGTTGCAACCGCACCGTGATACTTTACAATACTGTGCTGTCTTTTCTTTGCCGCAGCATTTTGCAGAAACGCGATTATGAGAAGAACGATCGTTGCTGTTCGAACCAGCGTCATTGCTATGATCAATGGAGGATCTGAAAAGAGATTAATCACAAGAGGACACAGAAATACAGATGATTTTCAACGTTTAAAAACGACAACAGATTCGTTTCTATAAAGAGAGATTTAGTCTTAATTAATTTTGAATTGAAAAGTGCTTTTTCTTGTATTTACAAACGATGTAACTTGCAAGGTATTTATACACAAACGTTATTCTAAACTAGAATTAGGACTTGGGAGTTATCTATGATATTCTGTACTTGTAACAATTAATCCTTATCCCAATAGGCTTCCCAACAAATGGTAAAATTAATAGATTAATTAGTCAATCTATTGACAACGTTTAATTAACAGAAAAATCTTAAAAGCGTATATTATTGGTCTTGAAAAAGCTCAAAAACAGCAAAGACTTTAGCTGTCTTGAACACAATTCAAAAAAAAAAACTCAAAACTTGGATTTTGTTCCCAAGAAGAAGAAAAAGTATATGTACAATTATTTTTTTCTTTCTCTGTTATTGAAAAAAGTATGCTAAAAATACGTTTCAATTTCTACATGAACTATATATATATACGGTTTCTTGTACTTGAACGATATATATATATATATATAAATATGGTTTCTTTTACTTGAATAATATATATATATATATATATAGAAAAGTAATAAAACTAAGAGCTCTTTCAATGGGTTCATAATATTTTTTTAATATTATTTTTTTATTTATGAGCAGTGAAAAACTTCTTCACATCTGGTATTCCATTAGTGAGCTCGGGTGATGGGTTATTAAAAATAAAACAATAAAAAAGTATAGCCAATCGCACAACGCCACATGGATTACGAGGCGAGATATAAAAATTCTCCGGTAAAGAGCGGTTCAGGCAGAAAATCCATTTCTCATTTATTTTTAAATAGTTTTACATAGGAACCCGAGCCAAAATTTAGGTTTGAACCCTCAACAATAGAGTGTACGAGGATTGTTGGATTTGCTGTATAGTTTCCTTTTTTTTTTGTTCTTTTCATCCTTAAACATAAGATGTCGTTGTTGCAGTAGAATTAGAAAATAAATACAAGGGGTCATTGCAAAATATTACTTTTATAAAATAAAATAAAAATAAATTTTTCTTATTTTTAGAGAAATAAAATAGTATATACTATGAAAAAACAAAATTATGCGGACAATAAATTAACGAAATTAAATAAATTTCCTAAAAATTTTAAACAAATAAAATTTACCTACCTTTATCAGTATATGTTGGTAAAGTTAGTAGTTAAATGAAAAAAATGGAAAATCCTACAACGGTCAAAAAATAAAAACAAGAAAAAAAGGAAAGTTCAAGGAGGCTTGGGTACTAAGGAGTATCGAAACATAAAAAACCTATCAGGATTAGAGTATTACTTTTCTCTATGTATATACAAACACATAACATCACATCACACTCTCTAACATATCTCAATTTCTTTCCTTGTTTGAGAAACCCTAATATGAGTCGAGAGAAAGAGAGAGAGAGAAAACACACACAAAAGAACGAGGGAACGATGCACCAACTTGAGCGATTTCTAAATAGGTTTTAGTTGCATTTAATTTAAAATTCCATCATTTGCTAATCACATATTCATTTTTCCTTTTGATCCAACGATTTATAAATACAAATACGGTTTCTTTAAAGCAACCTCTCCTGTAGTAATTTTCTACTAAAGGTGCACATAGATGCCACTTCCAATATTTGTATTTTGTTAGCTCGATTGATATTGAATCTCAATATTTCATGTAAACTGAACCTTTGAAATAATAATTTTTTTTGGTTTTTTTTTGGCTCTGTTCTCTTTGAAATGTTTTAATCATGGAAAGCATGATTAATCATGGAAATTAAAACATTTCAAAGCACAACTAATCATGGAAATTTCCTAAAAACTTTGACTTGAAAACGATGATATTCATTACCAATTCTAATCTTACAATTATTAGGAACGTAAACATAACGAAGGGTGAAGCACTCAACGTAGATCCCTCTGCAGAGATTTACGTACTAAGAAATCTGCTATTGATACATTAAATACTTAAATTGGTAGAGTATTTCGAGATGATCATAGAAAAATGATTCAAGAATAAAATTTAATGGTGAAACCATCACTGGAAAATGGTAGAAACAAGAGGTTGCTCTTCAAATAACAGAAAATACTCCTTCGGATTCTTAATAAAAATTTTATTAGGTTTTATTGAGCTTTTTTTTTCTAATTTTTTTTGGTATCTCGTGGATTCTATTAAACCACAATTCAGAACAAACCATGAGAGTTGTTATGCAAGATCATGCGATGGAAAGGGGGTAGAGAAATACATCAAGTTTGATGTTTGTTATCCTGGGGTTGTTGATTTATTTTCTTTGTGTTAGTATCTAGATATTTAATGTTAACTATACAAATATTTATTAACTTGATTCTCTATCTATAACTCGTCGATTAGTTTATAAAAAAAAAAACTAAAATGTTAACTTTTGTTACTTTTTGTGCCACCATTATCCCGCTTTCCCTTTGTGGAACCAGATGGATCGACTGTATCAATTTCTAACGCTTCAATTGCCCTTTTTAGTGGGTCTAATACCCTCATTCTAAGGTCCGACGTCCTCTCTCTGCTCGTTGGTCTATCAACCGCTCTTTCCAATAAACTCAACATCTTATCTCTAGGCTTATTGGTTAACTACTGTCCGACAGTTGGTTTCTCTCTAAGACTGTGGGTCTACCACTAACCGACGGTTGGTGTGTTAATCCGGAAAGCTCGTTGATGAGGACATCAAGTCATCATCAGACAAGAAGCACGGAATCAACAAACAAGGAGAGGAAAACATGGAGCCAAAACGAGCCAAAGAGACATGCGAGCTTTGTTCAGCTCAAATGAAGACCAAAACCGACCGTTCCAGCTCGACAAACATTTGGGATATTTACTCATTGCATCTAGAGCATACCACGAAGAAGAATCATCCCAAAAGCTTTCCACATGAAGAATATATCGAAGATACAAACAGACAGATCTTCAAAGGATCCGATGGAGACATACGACCACTTATTGAATCTCTCCAACCAGACCAGAAGGATTTAATACATGAAACCACTTTCTATGCAATCTGGATCCAGCATAGGCACGCGGGGAATTGGAATCAGTCCAATTGGAGTTCAGACATAAGAGTTATTCAGCTTACAAACCGGGTTATCTCCAACAAACCCGATTTGGACATATGCGCCTTGATCAAAGGATTCCGACCAAACAAGGACGAATCAAGCTATGAACCGGATTGTTTTGGATTCTTCATTCATGATAGAACCCAGGAGAACTGGAATCATACCGAGACCGGTTTTGGTTGAAAAGTTATTCAATTTCTAAATCAGAAGATTTCCGGCTTGCCTTATTTGGAACCTTTCGGGTTTTGGAGGCTTCAAACATATCAGTGGCGCCCAGGAGACTCTGAGTTACTTCTAGAAGCTTTCTAAAACATCCTAAGGTGCACCAACACGCATTGGATCAGGCGGATCCAATTAAGTTCTCAATTAAGCCACCCGGAACCATTTATGGCAAGTATGAGAGTCAACCGGTTTAATTCAACACAGAACCGACTTTGGCGACCAGGAGACTTCTCAGAGGGTCCAAATATTGTCCCACCATGCACCAGAACTCACAGGATCAGGCGGATCCTTCTGCAACTTCACTTGCCATATATAGATGCATTCACACTTGGAGCCATAACTCTCCAACGGCTCTTTTCCTTTGAATGCTACGACTTGGGAGTATTTTATGAAGATAATAATGTTCCAGAGAAGCTAACTTATCCCATAAAACCGTCCAGATACAAAGGCATCATCGCATTTTCATATTTGGCCGAGGTTCACTCATTTAGAGCCTAACGGCTAGTTTTTGATTAGTTTTGATTTGTTTCTTTGTCTTTAGAATTTTAGAACGTGTAAGAGCATTATATAAGCTCCTCTTAGTCCATTGTAAAAACTCACCTTTCAATCCAGAAATATACTAAGTATTCTTGTTTTCTTTCAAAGTGTTTCTTTGCAAAGATTGTTCTTTTTTTTTCTTTAGAATTAAGTGTGTGATTCACTTAGCTCTATAGAAGCTGCGACCTAGCTTGTTTGTGAGATTCAAACAATCTATTTCGTTCACAGATTGAGAGAGTCAGTCACCATCGATTGAGAGAGTCAATCAAATCCACCACCTTCTATCCCACCATCATATCCACTTCCGCAAAGCTTGTTGTCTTTGACAACCTTGTGAATTATAAGACTTGGTGTGATTCCAATCTTATATCACTCGTAAAACTTGTTTATTGTCCCTGCAATCACCACGTGATTTTTCTCCGTGCTTTGTCCTCACTCACACCATACCGCGAACCACTTCCCGGTAGGTCACATATCCTGAAATTGCTCTAGCAAGCATCTTTAACTCTGGAGTTCTCTCAAGACTAGTGCCCGAAAAGATAAGTGCACTTTGATGACATAAGTAGCCAAATCAATTCTTATAAGTCTCTCCACATATAACAGAAATCAGGATGTTACAATTCTCTCTGACTTCCAAGGAATTCGTCCTCAAATTCTCCTCAACTCAACTACATTCCAAGACGCCACCCGGGTCAGAACTGGTTGGCTAACCTTATGCTCTAATACCAACTGTGACATCCCGATCCCGCCTTTCTTTTGGGGAACCAGACGGATCGACCGTATCAAATCCTCATGCCCCAACCGTTCCTCTTAGTGAATCCAACGCCCTCACTGTAGGGCTCAACGTCCTCTCTTTAGGTCCGTTGGCCCACCAACTGCCCTTCCCAGTGAGCCCAATGCTTTATCTCTAGGTCTATTGGTCCACCACTGTCCGACAGTTGGAATCTTTAGACCCGTGGGCCCACCAATGTTCGATGGTTGGTGTGTTAGTCTGGAAGGCTCGTAAGACTTGTCTACTGTGTCCCTGCAATCACCACATGATCTTTTGTTGTGTTTTGTCCTCACTCACACGATACCGCATATCATT